TTGTTCCTGGACAACTTTTGTTGTTCCTGGACAACTTTTGTTGTTCCTGGACAACTTTTGTTGTTCCTGGACAACTTTTGTTGTTCCTGGACAACACTTCTGTCGTTACTGGCCAATTTATGCTGTTACTGGACAATTTTTGTTGTTACTGGACAACAGACGTTGTTACATATTTCAAACCTGTCGAAAGTTGCGCCGAACGGGTTATCGCTGAGAACTTTATCCGCACCCTCCGGCCATAAAGTTTCATTGTTTGCGAAACTGCTAAAATTTTTCGTTAATACTTCGCTGATGAGCTCTGGGTCTTTCACGACGAGAGTGGGCGTAATGAGCTTATAAATCCCGATAAATGGTTCTTTGGGGTGTTTCCTGCGAAAAAGAGCGCAATGAGAGGCTGTTATCAATATAGATGGATATCAGGAACGTGTCAATTTCAGGACTCGATTCGACGCATAAATCGTATTTTTTCTATATCGGTCTGATATGTTTTTCAATGTCATGGAGGTCATTCCCCGCGCTAGGTCTTATTTACCAACCTGCAGATCGAGTGGATGACATCTCCTGCCGTACGCCTCCGCATCAGAGGGTCCCACAGGTCTCCGAGGAGCAGCCGCGGCTGAGTCTGAACGATCGAACAAAACGATTAGGGCTGTGCGAATTCTCGTTATCGATTCGTTACGCTCTTGACATTGACGTCTTGAGGCCACGATATCTATTGTCTATTTAGGGTAGAGGGTGGATGATTGAAGTCGCGCTTCTTTCAAGTTATACTGTACCACATACCACCATGCAGGTGTGCGGTGCGGACGGAACGGGCATTCTCGCGGGGGGACTAAGCGCCGTGATGAGAATCGGTAGGCCAGTATAAGCAGAACCGCGCAAAACGGATTTACTCGATGATTACCCTCATATTTTCCCCAGATATCGTACATTTTGAGACATGTTTCAACATGTTTCGATATTCTGATATTACTCGATAATATCGAGTTTCGATGCATCAAGTCGATGTTCGAAACTTGGCCGGTCTCGTATCGCGGTGTCAGAAATCTGCCCAAACAGCCCTCCCAGACACATTTGGAGGCGAGCTCACCTGTACCACGCCGCGCCTCCACCAGTAGGACTGCTTCCACTTGACGTAGGCCACGAGGACCGCTATCACCGCGACCGCCACCGATATCCATGATGTCAGTTCGACCATCGTTTTGTTCAGCTCCCGCGCGCGGCGGTCTCACTACTGACACTGCGCTGGTTGTCCAACTGACCCAGCCACCCAGTCCCCACGTCGTCCCCGCCCACCGCCGCGCCGGTCCGTCGCCGTCGCGTCGTCCCCCGCGCGGCGTGTCCCGGTCGCTCCAGCCTCGCGGGCTGCGTCCGAACCTGGTCCTCGGCTCGCTCAAGTGGGCCCCTGTCGGCCCCAGTTCGGCGCGCAGCCCGCGCAGCAGCCGCGCACGGTAGCGACCCGGGAGCCTTAGTCAACACGAGTGTGGCGTCCAGCGGCGGGCCACGCGGGGCGCCACAGACTGCGACAGAGAGAGCGTGACGCAGGGGAAGAGCTGTTCGAACGCAGCGCCACAACTCAGAATTGTAGTCAAGGCCAGATTCGGGCGAGAGAAAGGACGGGGATGGGGGGTGGAGGGGCTCAGAAGTGATATGGATGTTGACGATGATGATTCAGCACAATTGCGAGGCACCGCCGCTCGTACCCTGATGAGTTGAAGACAGAGGTAATCGTTTATTGGTAGATGATGGAGTATGCATTGGGTGACATATTTTACAGCAGTTTTGCAGATTCACTGGCGTGTCAAGCCAGGTTGTCCAGCCCAAAGAGGAGCGTCAAGTAGGTTCAACGCGGAATCCACATGGATCGATGGATGCATTGTGGACGTGAATGCATCCACTAATCTTCAACTGTTAACTGTTTTTCATCAGTGGAATATTAACTTCAATGCTCAATACACCTTGGGATAGTTCCACCTACTTTTATACCCAGGAGATATGCTTTATTTGCGTAGAAAGCACGAGAGTATGTGGATATAACCTGGTATCGACGTTCTTTCAACTACCCGTGGATGGATCCACTACTTTTCAACTCTTATTATCGTTTTACGAGGTGTCGTCCTTCCTTCAATCTAGGGTTGCGACGACCGGTAATGTTACTGGTAACTTTAACGGAAAAATCGGTAATTTACGGCAATTTACCAAAAGCTTGGTAACGTTGAAAAAAACGGTAATGATAACACTACAAAATGAGTTAAAAACTCACTTTTCAGAAGCAAAATTCACATTTGGAATAGTGAATATGACATATTATTACATTTTTAGTCACTTTCTAGTGACCTGATAGCAAATTTCTCATTATTCTGAAGTTTAAAAGGCATAGCTTTAGATAACCATTTTTTTAGGTGTACTTATGGTAACTCTATATATAAGTGATGCTTATAATGAGAACAAGATCAACAAGCAGGCCCGCCCTTCCGCCAAACGGAGTTGCCAGCTCCACTTCGCTGCGCCGGCAACTCCGTTCGGCAGGGGCCGGGCCTGCTTGGCCTGCCGGCGGCGATGGTCGGGCATTCGGCCCG